CACAAGTTTTTCCATCAGGTCTTTTGGTGATCATAAGCTCAAAGTCAATGATTAAATCCTTGGGATCCATGTAGGCATTGCTAACATGAATATTGGTTGGTGGAAAGAGATATTCTGTACAACTCATGTGTGAATTTTACAAAAGGAGTAAAAGTCTAACACAGGAGGCTGAGAAATGAACAGAGGGCGATGAATGACACTCATGTTTTTCACTGGGAGCTGCTTGGCAGTGTTTACATTTTGCTAGCACGGAGTTTTGGAGCCTGTCTCATAGCATGTGGCATATTAGGCACAATAAAGATGTTCATTTGGCAGCTGGAGCATGACTAGGAACATCAAAAGAGTCATAGATGCGTCAATAAATGAAGAACTCCACCCTCATATAAATATGAGATCACTGTTTTAGTTGCCCATTGAATTCTTGTCAGTGAGACACTCACTTGTCATGCCTGGTGCAGCATTACCAACGTTTCAGTTTGGGGCTAGAGCTGATCTGTTGCTATTATTCATTTTTTGCACTTTTGTAGCGCCCTCAGCACCAAACACAAATCATTTTGTTGCAAGTGCTGTACAGACACAGGGTGAGCAGGTGGCCTTTGCTCTGAGGAGTTTAAAATCCAGATAAACTCCTTAAGCTCTAACACAGAGTGAGTGTGCAGGAGAACAGGGGAACTTTTGGGGTGTGCCTGTGGCCCCTCTCATCAGGCTGCCACTCACCCAACCTGTTATAATGCACGTGGGTAGTGGGAAAAATGTCAATTATCCATCTCAGGGCTTTCCTCACACCTCATTTCTGTGACAAATGCAGGAACATCACAAACATCATCACACAGACCATATGTTAGCAGGGCTGCCAAGCAGCCAAGTGTTGGATATTCAGAGAGCACCTTTGCAGCTCAGGCTGACACTTTCCACAGCTGATATCCACAACTTCTGTCTCATTTCTTGTTGCACTGCTTGGTACTTGGGGGACAAAAGGAGTAATTAATTAATCACACTTTGGAGTTTTTACAGAAGGATTTCTACACTGACTTTATGTACAGAGCAAGATTTTTTCACCAGAGAATAAGAACTAAAAATCCAATTTCCCTTGTATTTAATGGGCAGTTGCAATGTACAGGTTTGGTTCAGAGATAGATGCAATGCCATGGATGGGAAATCTGAGGAAACTGATGGAGCTGAAACTCCTCAGAGCTCTCCTGAGTGCCTGGCAGGGAAGGTCAGTGTGGCCAGGGCCAGGCTCAGCTCCATGGGCTCTGTAGCTGCTCCTGGAGCTTGCCAAGGGCAGCTCAAGTTCTGTAAATTTGGGATATTTGGCTCTTCCCCAGAAGCCACAAGAGTTTAAGGAAGCAAACATTCCAGTGAGGAGCATCGTGGGGATGGCTGGGAATGCAATTCAGTCTCAGGTGATGTTTCCTGCTCAGCCCAGTCCAGCAGACAGCACCATCCTGATAAGGTCCACATTTGACTAGGGAGTTTATCTAAGGCTCCAGTTCCCCTCAGCTCTCTCAGCAATTGGTTTCAGTTTCATCCCTGTTGGCCCTGAGGCCAAATAATCTCCAGTGTTCTCTATCCCTACGATCACTTCATCTCCTCCCACTTCTAATTTCTCTCCTACATATCAGTACTTCTCAGAGCCTTTTGAATTTATTTCCTTCTCCTTGCTATTAACCTCACCAAATACTCTCATTTCTGTGGTAGGACTGGGAATTGAAAGCATCAGTGCTTTTGGAGGAGACATGGTAAAAAAACCCAGTTTCCCACTTTCAAACAACTCTGCCTCAGCCCTTTTTGGAAAAAGTTGCAGGGTTTCGTGAAGATGAATAGACAGCAAAGTATAAAAGGTTTAAAAGTGTCAAATTCATACTTCCAAGGGAATATAGAATAGATTCAAGTGCTTCTCCTGATTCCATGTGCCAAACATGCATGTGGCCCTTGAATTTCCCCAGAGCATGCAGAGGGCAGCGATGCAGGGATCCCAGGGCTTGTGAGCACTGAGCAGAGAGGGGGGAGCAGAGCACCCCCAGGCAGCTCCTCCCTGCTTTAGAAACAAAACCCTCTGTGTTTAAAAAAAGTTGGTCCTTTTCTTGAAAGGCACTTGGAGTGTTTGGCTGGGTGATGCTACAACTCTGAACCATGACATTGGATTTTCAGGGATTATTTTATTATAGTTGTCTTTGGCTTTTAAATTTTTTTAAACTTTTTATTCCTGATATAATTTCTCAGAGGCCAATGCTAGATTTTTCCAATTGTAAGCTATTAATAGTTAATCAGCAGCAGTTTTTGATTATGAAAAGCACATATTTATTCAGAGAATCACAGATTGGCTTGAGTTGGAAGCCATGTAGGGTCATGCAGTTCCAAGCCCTCTGAAGTGGGAAGAGATGCTACCAATACAACAAGTTCCTAGACCTTGTTTCATTGGTTCTTTTAAAATTATTTAGTTGTGTTGTGTGGTTTTTTGGGGGATTAAAATATAAGAGACTTATAATTCACAAAGGCTGCAATCCAAGCAGTATTTATACAGTGGTTTGTACAGAGAATTTCAACTTCCCACATTTTTAATGACAGAAAAATATTACGTTTTTTTGTTGCTAGCTTTAGGAAATTGAAGTGAGTCTATTAAAACACCTGCCATAAACCCAACATCAGCTGCCAAGGGTGGTTTTCCACCAGGCAGGCTTTGCTCAGGGACCCCCCTCAAAACCCTGCTGTGGGCACAAGACCCTTCCTGGGAGCAGTTCCCAGCCTGGGAGTGTGGGCACCAGCCCACTCTGAGCACTCTGAAATTGCTTTAAGCTGCTGCTGCTCCCAAATTCAGTGGTTTTCCCTCCTGGTTCTCCTCCAGTACAAGACTTTGCAGGCAGGATGTGCCACCTGACAGCCCGAGATAGGTTTGTCTGGAGAGACTGCAGTGTCTGAGGGAAAAGAGGTTTTGTTTCTTTTTTATTTATAATCCCTCTTGCTTTCAGCAAAATTCAATGCAACACCAAATGAGCTGATGAAATTGTGGTTTTCTGTCCCGCTGTGAATCCAAGGATAGTTCTCTTGCCCTACAGTAAAGGGGAGGAAATGGGAGCAGTTTTTAGTTAAAAACATGTAATTGAGCTGAAGCCTTGTGCAGCAGGAGTTCCTTCAGCTGCTGGGGGAGTTTTTCTGCCAGAGCCCGTGGTGTCTGTCAGGGAGTTTAGGCTCTCCTGGGGAAGGGAATTGTCTGGTGTGAATTCACAGGGTCACGGCTTCACGGGGTGGTTTTAATTTTGTCTTGTTCTCAGCATCCACGTCTCTTCTAATTGGCAATTAAATTCATTTCCCCCAAGTCGTTTCTGTTTGGCCAGTGATGGTAATTAGTGAGTGACCTCCCTGTCTTTATCTTTTCCATCCTTCTCCTCAGTTCTGCTGAGCTGGGGGAGTGAGAGGGTGGCTGGGAGCAGCCAAGGCCAACCCTCCACTCTTGCTTTGGTAAATTGTGCCTCACATCTCTTTTTGTGCCTTATTCTGTTTGAATGCTTGAGATTTTGGCATTGTTTAATTGTTAATCCAACCCATCTCATCAATATTCATCATGAAATGAAGTTGTAAATTCTGGAATCAGTGATGAGTCTTTTTCCCTGCGGTGTTCTGCTTTGGGATTGAATCCCAGGAAATGCCCAGAAAGGAAGGATCTCCATGAGGTCCTCTGGCAGCCCTGTCTTCATGTTGTTCTGCCTGGAAAGAAATATTTTGATGAAAAATTGATAAATTTGATGAAAAGGATTTCTGTGTTACTTGCCAGGAGTGTTGAGTGGCCACCCACCATGAGACTGTTCCTGTGCTTTAGGACCAGTTATAGAAATTTCACAGTCAGGAAGAGTTTAGGGATTGGCCACAAGAGACTCTGGGATCTTTTCTCTTCCTTTAAAAAAAATACCCCAGTACAAGAAGTGTATGCAGTGAATTTAAACAATTATGTCAAGTGTTTTATTTTGTAGTAAAACTCCATTGTTTTTGATTTTATGTAGCTGGTATCACTGTCTGTAGTTTTTTCTGAAATTGTAATGCAGTTTTTAAAGATCCAGGGGAAGTGAAATGTAAAATAGAAATAGTGAGAGCATACAGGTAAATGAAAAGTCTGCAGCAGCAGTAACTCTGGGAGAAGGTAGGGAATACAAAACAGGTTGTCTGCAGAAAAACCTTTCACATGCAAATGTATTGTTCAGAGATGTCAAAACCTGAAAAGTTCATTAAGAAATTGCAAGTTTGTGGTGAAGATCTCTTACTGATATAGCTGGTAGTTAAATCACTAATATTTTATCCAGTTTTTTGTGCAAAATTACTCAGAGAAGAAATTTGAGACAAAGTCTCAAATCTTTGTGCTTTAGGAACATTTCCCTCTTTATGCCAGCTTTCCTAAATATTTTAAACTTTCCATGTAAAGTGAAACAGGATTATTGACAGCTACTGTTCAATTAAAATTCTCCCAATCCTTAGATACAGAGCAGCTCATGGACTGTGTGACAATCCTGGCAGTAGGAAATGTTAGAGTTCAGTTTTTCAGTTTTATAAAACTTTTGCAGTAGCCTGGGGCTGAATATTCTGTAAACAACCAGTGCTGAGCCTAAAGATGTACTGGGTATCTGAAAGCACTTTGCCACAGAAGAGCCTTTGGAGGTGCTGGGCTGTGATGAGGAGCACAATGAGGTTTCTACTGCCCCTGCTCCGTTTGTGGAACTGGGACGTGCATTTGATTGGAGTGATCACAAAAGGCTCATGTCCAAAGTGTTTTATTTATCTGCCACCCAGTTAGACTGGTCAAAGCCTCTTCATCTTCCTTTCTTTCATTCATACATTTCTTTATGAAGAATCAAAAAAAATAGAATTTATTTCAAAATTTTTTTCCTTTGAGAGACATTTCTTCCCAAATCTGTAGACAAGCTAATAACATAAAGACATCTGAAGCTTGTGTTCCAAAGTGGATACTTACAATATGTTTTTTCTTTTTTTTTTTCTTTCACCCCCAGTGAAATTTGATGACTGCCAGGGGAACAACAAATTGAACTTTGAAGTTTCTAACCCAGACTTTAGAGTGGAACTCGATGGGAATTTGGTTGCACTCAAGAATGTATCAGAAGTTGGCAAAGCCCTGTTTGTGCACGCGCGGTCGGAGCACGCCGAGGATATGGCAGAAATCTTTATTCTTGAAGCCAATGAAAAACGTGGTGCATTAAAGGTAAGAGAAATACCAAAGATTAAAAAAAAAAAAGGGCCAAGGAGATGAGGAGATGCTGCTGCTAAATTGCTAAATATTTACATGTGTCATCTAGGATTGTAGGCAATTTTAATCTGTTAGCAGAGATCAAAATCAGTCTTCAATGGAGATACTGCTGTAACATTTTAGCTCTTGGTTTAATTTGTGATGCAGATTTCCTGGGTTGTGGAAGATGTATTACATCTTCAGGTGTGGATGCTAAACATTCATAAAGACTTTATTCAAATGAAAGAGTCCAAGTATGAAAATTGACTGCTTTTTCCAATGTGTGTTATGCCAGGTAATCACAGTTTGGCCACAACTAAAAATGGAAAATCATAGTTTAAATGTGTAATTTAGAATTTACAGAACCTTCATGTTTTGCTCCAAGTCTAAGTACATGGGAATGAATTCTGTGTAATTTAAATTTTCATATTGGTCTGCTTATCTGACATTGTTAGGTGGTAAACTGCTTAAACATCTGCACACAAACAGTGACACACATTTACACTCTGTCTCTATACCCTGGTGATTTTTGTTCTGCTCTGTCCATTGAATATTTTGTCCTTTCTTTCCCTCTCCTGAATTTCAGTGTAAAACAAACCTCATCCTTAGGGGTAAAAAGCTCTTCAGAAATTGAATTGAATAATTATAAATTGAATTATTTACTTTACACCCCTGCAAGTAACAAAAGGAGATGTGAGATAGCTTTCACTTCTGTGTCCTGGCATTTAGGAGAGAGGCAGGCAAGGCAGTGGCTCGCTAGGTAATTAAGCCTGGTACCTTTCCAGACCTATAATTTCACAGAAGTATAAAGAAACTTTGATAAAAATGACTGATCTGCTGTCTTGATTTGGTATTTAGACACTCAATTGCCAGCATTCTCCTCATATTCCCAACAATATATTAGTATAACTTAAGTCTTCCATTATAAAAACAAATTATCTTGAGGAGAAAGGTTGAGCAACCTTCTGGAAGTCGGTGGCTGAGGAAAGGTTTTGCTCTGCACTTTAAGCAGCACACCATGTGAATATGGATTGCCAGCAGGAGAGAAAGAACCAGAATGTGTAACTGCAGAAAGCTGATCAGAACACTGAAATGGAATTTAATTTTATTTAAATATGCCGTTTCTTCACAAAATTAAATTTTAACACAGTCATACTCGAGGGAGTCTCTTACGTGGAGGAGCTGTGAGTTTAGGACTACAGAGAGCCAAATTCAGAGTAGGAAAGCCACACTTGAGGAGCAAGCTGGGCACTTGGCTGTCCTGTGCCTCAGACTAGCAAGCCTTGCTCCTTCTGGTGCATTCACAAGAATGTTCAAATGGTTTTATTTCGAAACCTTAGGAGCAGTTTCAAAATGGGGATGATCATTCTCTGGTTAGAAGTTACTAAAACCACTGAGGAGTTGAGACATCTCTGACAGGAGGTCTGGAGTTAAACTTCAAGGGGTTGGTTTATGTGTGAAGATCTGACTCTCTGAGAATCACATTCTGAAGATTTATTCTGGTTTTCTTAGAGAAGCAGCCCTTCCATATCTGTGAGGAGAGATATTCTATGGTAAAGTTGCAATCTAGGGGAGATCTTGTCAGATATTCTATGGAAGTTGCAATCTAGGGGAGATCTTGTCAGATATTCTATGGAAGTTGCAATCTAGAGGAAATCTTGTCAGATATTCTATGGAAGTTACAGTCTAGGGGAGATCTTGTCTCATGAGCAGGAGTTGCAGGATGTGTTTTTGCACAGACTATGACAAAGCTCTGCCAGCAACCTTTTGTCTTTATGTCCTGTTTGGGTTTTGGGGAGTCTCCCCTCAGAATGTTCCAGCAATATTAATTGATGCCTAGTCTTGAAATCTCTCTCCAGACCCCATTTGAAAGCCAGGCCCCACTCCTGGATTCTGTTCCAACCACTTTGTGTTGTTTCAGAGAGAGAAAACCAGTCTAAATCAGGCAAATTCTGCCACTTGCCAACCTTTCCTCACAGGTGACAATATCACAGCAACATCTCAACCTGCATTCATCACCTCTTTCTGGATTTTGATATTCAGCCCATAAGCAGCTGATTACCCATTTCAGGTGGGGTTTAGTGTCTGCAATGCCATTGTGAGTCACACGATGCCTTAATGTGTCCTGGGAAATCCATCTAGTGAGAATCACCCCCTTTCAAGGGAATATAAAAATCTCTGGGGCCGACTGTCCTGCTCTGCCCTCACCCAGTCCTCTGTAGCTGTTAAATCAATATTTCTTCCCAACCTTTTTCCATCTATTTGCCTATTTTGAACACCACACAGACAGTGTTGTCTTTCTGTTTGTCATATTTGAGAAGGATATAAAGACTTCAGCGTCCTATCTAAAGTGCTTTTATGATAAATTTGAACTTAGTCCTGTACTTTTGCAGTTTAAATGTGTCAGCACGGAAACAGCAGAACTGCTCCATCTGTTTATGCAAGGAGCCTTGGCTAAGAAATGCTCAGATGGAACCTCAGTAATTCAGCATAATTTTGTGGGGTTAAGATGAGCACATTCTGGAGCAGAGCTTAGCATTCAGTACTTGGAGAACTGTACCTTGTCTAATTAGGGGATAAGTAGTTCTTAAGTATTTCCCCACTGCCAGCAACTGCCATTTCTTTTCTGAAAGCATGTAACCTACATCTGTGAAATCCCATTGTTAATGTTGCTAATTGCAGATTCCCAACGTGTTTGGGAATGGCTCTCAGCAATGATTTCTGATGTGCTGACTGGCACTCGGAGCCTAGGAACAGAGAGTAGCTCCTAAAACTTTCTGATTGCTACCAACCATACTTTGGATGAATATGGAAATTATTTAGGGGTGCAATCTGGAGTGTGCAGAAAAGCTTTTGGTATTGTGCTGGTGAAGGGGTGCAGTTCTTGCCTGGAAAGATAGGGGATGATTCCAGCTGGCCTCACTGATCCCTCCTATGTGATTAACTAAATTAACTTCACGGCCAGAGTATAATCAGTGGCTGCTGGAATATCACTTATTATTTAACTGTTATTTGCATCTGAAGGGCCTGTTTTCCTCCTCTTCTGCCAGAAGCACAATAGACCTGCAGAGCCTGCAGCTTTCCACCCAGGGGTGGCCATGGCTGCAATGTGGGCAGAGGTGGTTCCTCAGCCATGAGCCAGCTTGGCCATGGTCACACAATCTCCTGCAGGGGCAGACACTGCATTGCTGCTTTCCCTGATGTTTGCATGTCTAACATTCCCCAAACCCCATCAATCTCTGCTACAGATATTCATACATGCTGAAATCCCTCCATCAGATTCCACATTGGATTCCAGATCAGACTCCAGCTGGAATTGGTTTCTGCAGCCTGCTGGATGTGCCTCCTCCCTCCAGTGATTTTGGATAGATGTACCAGTCTCTGTCTGTCTTGACAGAGAGGAATATTCCCAAAAAATCTTCCTTCATTTCTGAGAGACTTTTGAATGTGAGTGCACAGAAGAGCCTGTGGCAGGTGGAACAGTTATCTCTTTAATAGTTATGTGCCTGTACACCCTTGGAGCCTGAGGCAATCAGTGGTCAGTGAAAAAGAGGAATTCTACAGGCATTCCCCATGGAGCAGTGCTGGTGAGCAATGGAACATTCCTGTCAGGAATGCTGCTCACTTCCAAAAAATTTAGAAAGGTTTATTAAAACCTTATCAAAAACACAACAGAAGACTGAATAGAGAAAAAATTACGACCCCTGGAGCAGGCGATTTTCCCCACCATGTGCTCACCCACACAATGGAGGTTTCACCTTTTAACCCTTTAGTCCTTCCCAAAATTCTGTCCATTGACTCCTTCCTCTCTGTCCAGTGGTGGAAATCCCTTCCTTGAATCTTTTCTGGAGGTCAGGTGCTGCCATAGTAATGAGCCAACCCTCCCAATTGTCCCAAACCCAGGCCACTCCCTGATAACAACACAAGGGGAATAAAACACAACTAAAAAACTGTAAAACTTCTCTTAACATACATACATGATATTTGCCTTTTAATTGTGAGAGCCAACTATCCAATAACTCATCTATCACATTCCCCATGGAGCAGTGTTGGGATGTGCCTGTGCCCTGCTCTGACAGTGTTTGCTTGATGCCCTCTCACACAGTCAGGACTGGAGTGCTTGGGGATATTAAGACAAAAGAGACCTGGAAATGTTTTGATTGTCCCAGAATTCCCCAAATGAACTTTGGATTCATTCTGAATAATTCAGAGAATTGCTAAGCCTCAAATCCCTAATGGAAAAATAAATCACTCCTAAACCCTAGTTGAGGAGAAAATGGCTGAGCCAATGACTGGCAGCATTCTCTTCATTTTTTTAACTTGTGTCTTGTCCAATGCTTGATCCCTGCTTTGTTTTATGGAGAAAGTAGGACAACTGAAAGTTGGAAATTTCGTCTTATCTGAACATGTGTCCAGACATTAGAGGATTTATGTATTTATTGAAAGAGACAGGTTTTGTGGAAGGCAGAAAGCATTGCCAGGCTTTTCTAAAGCCTGATAATAAATGGTGAGTTGCAAAAGGTGGCAAGCTGAGACTTGAACTTTGTCCTCCAAGGCTAAATAAAATGGTGTCTGCTGGTCCTGGTCCCCCTCTGAAATCTAGTGCTGGTTTTAATGAACATCCCCTCAGTGTACTGAGAGCTAAAAGGAAACCTTGGGACACAATCTGTCTCTGCCTCTCTGTGTTGGCAGCGTTTATTTTTTTTTTCCTTCCCCACAGCAAAGGGAGTTATTTAGAACTTTTATTTGCTACACCATTACAGACACAGGGTGAGGGGTGGAGGGGAGTGAGATATCAAGAGTCTGGCACCAGAGCAGATAAGAGGGCAGGCAGATATTCAGAAATTCCAGGCTGGTAGTAACTTCACTGCATGATGCTCAGCAGTGTTCCATACAGAAGGATGAAATGATTAAATAGAAACTGTCAAACCCTCAGGACACATTTCAGGCACTGGATAGAAAAGGAGCAGGAGAAA